GCTAAATATATGTTACAATTTTCTTTAAATTGTATCTGAGGATGTTGTATGTATTTCTGAACTACTGTGTGAAGTTTCACTGCTGTCACAACATGAATCTTTAATTTCCTGTTTACAGCCAGTGCTGATTTCCCATACAACGGTCAAGCTATAGGCGATGGAGTTAACAGAAACTCTGCCATTATTGGAGGTAGGAAAAATATCCCTTTTTATAAGATACTTTGCAGTATGATTGTGAAGGTTGGGTTGTAGCTGGTAACATATTCAAGCTATTTGCTAAGAGCTGTCTATGTGGGAAAACTGCCCATCACCAGAACAATGTTAAATAAAAGTTGATGTAATTCCATTCAGGCATGTTGTTCTGGTAAAATGGTTTGTTCTCATTTAGTTTGTCCCCTCAGGTGGAGTTTTAACCAAATCTAAGAATTAGTGTTCATAATCCACATATTAAGCATCCACGCAGAGAGCTATATTGGTATAGTTAATTAGGTTATAGAACAGTTAATTCATATAAAAAGGCAAGACCCTTTCCCAGTTAGTGTTTGAAATAGATCCACGTTGAAATGCTATTTGTTGCACTTGTGACAAAAAGAGTGTGTTTTAGGAGTTAAGTTCTGCTGTAACGTATGTGCCTGGTTATCCCATTCAGTGAAATAAGTTTCCAGGTGATGTTAAGTAATTCCAGAATTGGCCTTGAATTAGCATTTAAATGAAGACCTGCTGGCCAACTATCTTCAGAATTAAAGATCTTGATTAAACTAATGCACGCATGCAGTTGTCTCTGCCCTGTCCTGTCACATAGAGGAGTTGCACCATAACTCCCCTGACGTAACTTTATCACTGCATCGTGTTCTGAAAGCATGTAGAAATTGTTTTTCAAAGATCAGCCTAGTATTTTTCAATTAGTTCTAACTGCAGATAAAATGACAAGCTGGTGGTGTTTTTTTGTTGTGTGAAGCAACGCTGAATATAGTCGTATGTGCAGCCTAATTGAATTTCCTGTTTCTTTCCCTTGACCTCCTCAAAGGTCTGTTTCATACCCAGATTTAGGCTAGCAGTTTTAGTTTGATGTGTTATCTTATTTTTTCCTTTTTGTTTTATTTTTATTCCTACTTATAACTTTTTTCTAATACTTTGACACGCTATGATGATACAAGGATAGTTTTCAATTCCTTAGAAAACTCAGACCGTAAACAAACGATTTTGTCCAAAGCATCAGTTAGCAAAAATGATATAAAATGTTTCTGGCTGACTGCAAAATTTTTTGGCCTGAGAACTTTGTAACGTCTTCACCTGGGAGACAGGCATTTGGCCTAGAGAGTAGGGCCAAAAAGGAAAAGCGCTGTTTTAGCACATACTTACCTATGCCTAAGAGGGCAAAATGTATGATGCCCCTACAAAAGAGGGCTGAACCCCAAGCAGACTACTGCAGGGGGCACAGTAGAGAATAGGTCTGAGGATAAAGCCGTTACATCTGAAATTATGTGGACCTGGTGCCTAGTGAGCAGAGTGAGCCAATAGTGAATATATGAAATGTATTTTATAGGCGCTATTGAGGGGCTACAATAGACACGTACGTCCATCCGATTGGGAAGTGTACAGAAGTGTCTCCATCCCCAATGCACGTGGCTTGTCTCTCCCCTACTTCTGTGTTTTCTCCTCTCCTCTGCTTAGGTGTCATCGCAGTGGTGATCTTCACCATCCTCTGCACCCTGGTGTTCCTGATCCGCTACATGTTTCGCCATAAGGGCACCTACCACACCAACGAGGCCAAAGGGGCAGAGTCGGCCGAGAGCGCGGACGCGGCCATCATGAACAATGACCCCAACTTCACGGAGACCATCGACGAGAGCAAAAAGGAATGGCTCATCTGAGCCCGGGGGGCTGGGGCGTGGGGGTACCAGCCGGGGAGGGGGATGGGGGAAACTCTTTAGGTGAGGAGAGGAAACTACTTCGGACTCTCGAGCACCTGTACGGTAAAAAGATCAGCACAACTGGAGGAGCGAGTGACAGAGGAAAAAAAAAAACATTGAGACTGGAGAAAATACAAAAAAGAATATTGCAAGCATTTAGGTGAAATACTTTTTAATATTTATTTACAGCAAATTGCCCCTTCTGTATCCAAACAACTACAACAAAGAGCAGCTTTACAGCTTCAGCATTGGTTAAGATTTCCAGTAATACTTGTCTTTTTCTGTGTGCATTTAGAGGTATTCAAGAATACCTGTGATGATAAACGGGGCCGGTTTTTTACATTTTTTAAAAGCTGTTTAAAATGTGGATAGTTCAGTCTTGAGAACAAGCGGCAGAGCGTTGTTCTCGGCATTTTTTTTTTCTTTATGACCAGTCACTTCCAGACAGGCTGCCATAATCCCCTGACCTACATCATATGAAGTTTCACGTTGGTGTCGTTTGAACTGGGGGTTTGAGGGTTGGGGCCGGGACAGGGAGAAGCGGGTTGGTGCTCAACGCGAATCATATCTTGCCAGTTTTTCAGAATGCCATCAGTCAGTGCCAACCCTGTCAGGCACCATCCTTTTGACCCAGGCACTTTGATTGTGTACACTACTTATCAGCGATGTAAAAATACTGTTACTATTACTACTGCTACCGGAGAGGAGTATCATAAAGCACAGGAGGCTTTAGTTTTCTGTTATTTTGTTGGACTCTGAAGGATGACGATGCGGTGTGAGTCTGTAGACGTAGTCTGTTTCTGTATCTTTGACTGTGCCACTGGTGAGCTGAGGCCAGGTTAAACTGGGCTCTAGCCGTGACATGTTGGCGTGTCCTGTACCTAGGCATAAGCATTGTAGTAGGGAATTAGAGCCAGACCTCGTTTGCTTCTGTTTCTTTTTTACAGGCTGTCGCAGAAGTATTAGTACAGCTCTAGTGAATGCATTTGAGCCGACAGGCTTCACATAATATTTTTTCCAACGTTGGCATAGCGATTCATTCTTTAACTGTTTTAGTTTTTTATCCCTTTGGTGAGAAAGCTGCTGTTAAGTGTCCTCTCAGGCAGGAAGGTGAAACAGAAGAAATTGGAAACTGCTCAGAGAGAATATGAGAGAAACAGTGCTAGAAAAGAGTTAACTTTCAATCCACAGATCTACCTGAACTACTTTACTCCCTGTTAAGGCAGTTTTAGGAACAGCAAGGACAATATCAAGCGCAGCATGGATCAGTGTCACATGAACCAGGGGAGTTTCAGATGCCACCTGAGAAGTTGGCAGGCCATTTCTAGTAACGGCGAGGGGGCAGCCTGAAGAGCTAATATGCATCGGTGGCAGTAAAGTAGCTTTAGCTTGCCCTCTGCACGGGAACATGGTTCTCCAGTGGTCTGGCTTGCTAGAAATTTTAAGTCCTTATGGGTAGTTTGTGCAGTGGAACAGAATAAAGAAATGAATGTATTGTAAGGCGTTTCTTGAGCCCAAGAAGCAAAGCAACAGTACCAAAAGTTTCTCTTTAGAAGTATTTACGCTCATGACAGTTTTAGATTTACCTAGTCTTTCATATTGATGGGTTTAGTATGCACAGATTTATTTCATTTTTTGCTTGCAAGAAAGATTTATTTTTGTAAATTCAGATCTGCAATCTGATACACTGAGCAAAGCTGCCATCTTTAATTTCCTTCTCTCTTTGCATTGTATCTTTCATTTTTCTAGCTGATGCTATAAAATGAAACAAACAAGCATAAAGATTTCATGGAGGAAAATACTGGAGTCTTACCTGGCAAGAAAGTTAGAAGCACAATTTGTCAGATAGGGAGACAAGACCAAATAGTTTGATTTAAGGATGGTAGCATAAAGTGCTCTTCTGGATTTGCTGAACGTGGATTTCAAACCAATCAAACCCATTGATTTCTTCATTTTATGAATTTGGACTTAGCATATAAAACATTGTCAAATTTAAAAAAAAATATATATATATTGGTTGTTCCTCAGGTAAATTTGTGGCAGATAGGTTCAGGTAGGAATGAAAGCCACCGTTGTCACTCTTGTGCTCTGCAGTCTTTTGCCTTGCCTCCAGTGTTAACCTCTTTCTCTTGTGCTTAATTGAGTGGATGAGCCCTTATCCTTGTTTAATGATGGGTGTAAGATGAGTCTCCACCCCTTGGAAAACATTAAAACATGGAATGAATCTAACTTGCACCACAAACTATTCAGCACGATACTTCAGTTGTTCCATGTCTCAATCACAGATGTCTTTGTGATTGAAAGAGTTCTTGTTCTTTTCCATATGTTATATTTAATTTGAGTTTTTTGAAATAGTATTTCTGTCCACTTTCTTTTAAAAAAAAAAAAAAAAAAAAAATCCTTGCCTGTAACTTCAAGTTGTCATGAGGAGGGAATATAGCATCATTTGCATAGACTGGCATTTGAATTGTTCACTTTCTAATCTGAATGTAATGTTTGGGAGGGGGATCAGACTCTCACAACCTGAGAGACAAGAATCCTCCAAGTCCTCACGTGAGAGAGAGAAACCTGACAGCTGCTGTGCGGATTTGCCAAGTGCCTCAGCATGGAGCTAGCAGGGAGAGACAGTTAGGTCTCTGCCTACCTGAGTCTTTGGCCAAACTACTGACAGATGTCTGGGTTAGGGTAGTGAGGTCTGTGACATCCAGCCACTGATTTGCTAAAAGTTTACCAGCTGATCTCTCATTACCCTGCAAGCAAGTATCTCTAGAAAATAACCTTGGATGAGTGCACATGTGGAAGCTGTAAACTAGTGTCTTAAATTTGAACATTTCAGGGTTTGTTTCTTAACAGAGAGGTTTGTTTCTTAATTTGCAGACATCTGCATCTCTCTATTACACTGAACACCAGGGACCTCTTTACATGAAGTTGATTTATGCTATGTTAAAATGCTGATAATCTTCAGACTTGTCATTATTTTCCTGATAAGTCACTTTCATAACTCTACAACCACTTTGAATTAATTATTAGAATTCATCCTGAGAGCTACGTTAATGGTTCTGTTTCTCCTTAAACTAGACCTTAGCCATGCTATCGTAGACTGGCAGCTGGTCTCTATATGGGCATCTCATGACTGTGGGTGACTTCCTGGCTACCTGCTTTGTATTTCCATTTTCAAGAATGGTGTGTGTCTAATTACAAGTGCTGGCCACTCAGGAGCCTTAGGAACGAAGGAGGAGCAGGCTCAGAAAAGTAGTGTGTGTGTTTTTGCTAGCATCATATATACTCTGAGGATTTCTTCCTCTGTGTTTCTGTTCTTGGAAGTCAAAACAAGGTCCTTAGTTTACTTCACCCATTCTTATTTATGCCAAAAATCCATAGTGTTTGACAAGTACTATCCATTTTCCTGTAGGTGGAAAATCTGATGGAGAGGAGAGTGAATCCTGCTTTCAATAAAACTCTACTTTCCCCCAAACAATATTAAAGTAATCACACTCATATCAGCTGTTTTGATTGCTTCACCTATTTTCAGTGCACAGGAAAATGTAACTCCTTGTGCTAGTTGGGGCCAGCTGTGCTTCTAAAAGGCCCATTCCTGATTCCACTGGAACCAGTGGCAAAGTTGCCACCAACTCTGAAGAGAGCAAGATTGGGCTCAGCATTAGGAGTCTCAGTGTTAGTGAAATAATGTAAGCAATATTTGGATCATCATTCACAACACACACACCCCCCTCCAGGTAATGAGTTACAGAACTCTAAAGAGCCAAATACTGAAAATCTAATTTTGATGTCAATACAGCCTGTAGGGGAAACAAACATTTCAAAGTCTTATTTTTTAATCAAGTCGTTCCAACACTGCTTATTCCATATTTACTGATAGCAAGTTCAGATGTATTAAATAGTACCAGTTAAAGATACCTATTTCTAGAGTATTTCTGCATTGTATTTTTGTTGTCTTAAACCTTACCTGTACCCTTCGTATCTCGCATAGCAGTTACCACTTCGAAGGTATGGCAGCATTTTAATATCATGCTCTAGCTGGCATGATGTATATGAAAGGATGGTTGTTATCAATTTACTAAGACTGCCAAAGCAGTAGTGTATGTGTACAAGTGTATATATACAAGTTTAATGTAGTGATAAGAATTCAGTTTAAAAGACTCTAAATTACATCTTATTTAGAACAGAGTACTCTTTAGAACAGAGTTGTAATGGCAGATGCATCTAATTTCCAGGGTTTCTATTGAAACGTGAAACTGTTTGATAAGCAATAGCTTTTGATATGGTTTCTCCCTTGGATTATTTTACATTCCAGCAAGCATGGTGACTCTGTAAGGGTGTCTTTTTTTAGAAAAGCAGAACCTAAATTTTGTTAATAACGTTTGTTTATCCATCCTACAGAAATGAAATGGAAGCTTTACCTTCTAAAAGCAACAGCTTGTAAATTAGAATGAAAGAAGGAAAATACATATGCACGCCTAATATCTTCTGTGAATGTCTTTCCTTTTAACTGAGGTTCTATTAGAAAACAAATCGGTGAATTAAAAAAAAAAAAAAGAAAGAAATTCTAAATACTTTTAATTAGCCTAACATCTGTTTCCTCATGCTTTGTACGTTCTGATCATTGTCTGTAATTTTGCCTTCTCTAGTACCAGAAAATCAGTTTGGAAGGACTGAAATTTCTGCCTCATAAGAAAAGGTGCAAGGTATATGAAATAAAAGGACTTCAGAATGCAGTTATACATAAGAAGAGAGGTTAAGCAAAAACAGGAAAGAATTTAAAGTGCGTTTAGGTTCTTCCTACATCAAGCAGCCCTGATGACGTGTTGCGGCCAAGAGTCTTGGGTGGTGTAAATATGCCCCTGTGGAGGCTGACTGAGCATCAGAGCATAGCGTTTTGATACAGACGAAATAACTCCCTTTCTGGAGTTTTTCCCCCATTCTGACTGTTTTGCACAACAGCAGCACCAGGTTCTGCCACCGCTTCGGTTACT